CGCGATGCGCAAACGTTTCTTCTAGACAGAACTCAGTCATGTTATGGCGGATCAGTGGCGTCTCCATCGACCTTGTTGACAACGGACAAGCTAGCCATTAAACGTCTCGTGTGTAACATCAACACAAGTCCCCGGCAGATGGGGGGATATTTGTGGCCCCACATTTGCGTGTGTTAGTCAAGTTGAATCTAAGTCGATGTAACAGGTGTTCTGATTGGATAGAAAGAAGGGAGATAATTCGTGGTGCGATCTTTTGCCGCTAGGAGATTCACGAGAACCGGGAAATATGGCCGTATTAAAACAGAGGTAACGTAGGAAGACATGACAGGAGTAACCTCTGTGGGAAGAGAATGGGGCAAACTGTTCGACTTAGAAAATGTTGAGAGCAACGTGGCGGCCATAACCAAAAATAAGCAGTATTCCCTCGTCTTAACCGACGACGACAAGTAAGTGTTGTTGCCCGCTAAAGTCGACTGGTTTCTCAACATTAGGCTCGGCTCCCACTACGTGTTCACGGAGAACAAAGACAACCACCTAAACAAAGTCGTGAACAATGGAACCCTGCCCGTGGCTTACGTCCCAACGTAGAGACGTAGTGTAATCATCAGTCCACTCACCAGTATGGCAGCCCGCATGCTATCTAGCAAGCCCGGGATGCAAAACGTGGTATTGCAGTTGGTATCTGAATTCGAAGGCGTGGTCAACATCCTGGAGAGTCTACCGGCGAACTCAACGCTGGTCATCCAAGTCTACCTAGGGGAACCATTGCGGGATGAAGTCGAAATCATGAAGGGGATCAAACTCCGGTGGGGGAAACGACACCAGTATCACGTTTACACCAATTACATGTGGGTGGGTGTCGACTCCAACACCAGTCTGCAGGGGGTCACTGTGACCGTGGAAGACACGATATCACTCACCAAGATCTTCCTACCCGACACCATACACTTCATGGGGTTGAAATGCGCCCCTGAGAAATTATCAGAAAAAACAGTTGGAAATTATCTCGTAATAGTATTATAGCAATGACCAGTCATCACCCAAACGTTACACTCGGGGATCTAGGAGACACGGAGGGATTCGCTTTCCCTTTGTGAGGAAGACACCTCATACGTCCTGCACTTTGACGGCCACGTGTATAGGCCGATTGCTTTGGCAAGCTTAAAGGAACCCGAACGGTTGCTCAATATGACCCTCACCGCACCGTATATATCACTTTACCCAATATAGCCGTATCTCTGAAATTAGGAATAACGGTACCTTGCCCGGGGGTTTCAATCCGGGGTCTAATACAAACATTATACTAAGACCGGTTTAACCCAATATGTTACAGGCATACGAGGAGGGTGAGTTAAGGTTTAACCGCTACTGGTACCAGGAGGCCCGGCTATCGTACCAGGCTCCACACTCATCATAGAAGTCTATCTCCTCAGACATTCTGTTAGTAAAGAGCAACAGCTTTTTACCCGGGGTGACAGTACACTGGAGTCCCCGGACCAATAACCAACGTTACCATGTCATCATACAACTGGACCCCTCAACGGGTTCTATAGCCCCCTCAATAAGACCCTCCTATGGGGCTCGTGTGGACGCAGAGTTACCTATTAACCTCTCACCTATTCCCCTGCATGAGGATCTACACCTTATAAGCCTCAAGTACATTGATCGATTATTAACTGAAGCCCAATTAAAAAATATCTCATAAGATATATTATATGCACACAGGATGGGGCTGTACCCAGTCGCGGAGGAAACCCCGAAGCCACTGGAAACTGCAGACGGGTTCCGCTTGAGACAGTTATGCGGCATAAAACGCCAACTAGAACAAGACTGCGACACACAGGCAGCATTGTATAAGAAGTACCATAGAGCTTTCAATGTCATGGATGGGGTTGATACCGCCCTTATGGCCGCCAGTATGGGGTTAGGGGTAGTAGGTGTGGGGTTGTTAGCCACCATCGTTGCCGCACCCGCAGTGCTAGGCATCGAAATAACAGCTGGGGTGTCAGGGTTGGCTGGATTGGTGTTTAAGTTTGTGTCACGCAGACTGCACCGGAAGGCATTGAAACACGACGAGATCAGGATTCTGGCTGAAGCAAAGCTGAACACAGTAAGTGAGCGTATTTCTACAGCACTCACTGACAGTATGATCTCAGAGGAGGAATCTCGCTCAGTCCTCTCTGAACTCGACAAATACCGTAAGATGAAACAAGAAATCCAGCTCAAGTCTCGTAAGTCTGGTATCGGCGAAGACGAGAAAAAAAAGTACATAGAACAAGGGGTGCGAAACATTAAACTGTTTCACAAGACATAGTGCCACGTGATCAGGTTCGCGGCCATAGCGGCACAGTACTGCCACGTGTGGCCGGGAAGTTAACTGGGGGGCTCAAAAGTAGTAGATATACTGGGGCAGGATATAAGGGCCTGACAAAAGCTTTATTTGTGAAATAAGGCTTTGCAGAACTACTTGACAGGAACGTTCTATCGGGCAGACAAAACAGAAGCTTACTGGGATTTAATCGAAGATTCTATCAATAACGCTGTTGTCCTTAGTATGGACACAATTGTAGTTGGTGACTTTAATATTAATTTACTTGCAGACTCAAGTTATAAAATTCATCAATTACAACTGCTATTTGGACTAACACAACTTATAGCTGAACCTACAAGGATTACACCCAGTTCTAGTACATTAATTGATCTTAGTGTTAGCACTGTACTAAAATCGTGTGTTTTAGATCCTGTATGTAGCGATCATTGCCCTGTATATGTCACCATTAATGGGTCGATTGCAAAATCGATTAATTACAAGAGAAAAATATATAATTATACTCTAGCTGATTTTGACGGTATTAAAAATGCCTAATATACTCTTGATTGGCATGCTATGTTTGCCTCTGAAAATATTAACCGAATCGCAAGCGATGACTGGTGCAATTCTTAAATTATGCGATAGTTATATTCCAAATAAGGTCGTTACGATAAGGCCCCGGGACGCCCCCTGGATGAATATCAACGATTATATCTTCAAATCCCTCTTGTTCTTGTGGCTACTGTTACGAAGATCCAATTCACTATTTCTTTTCCTGCGTTAATTACACTGACATAAGACATAAAATGCACTTCTATACTAAAGGATATGACATCAGATCAATACTATACGGCCACTCTCAAAGCTTAAACGTCAAAAAGTGCAAATTTAGGGAAAACTCGGTTTAATTATTTTTGCTTTAGAATGTGAAAGAGTATAAGCATTTAGGAAGTTTAGTATAATGTAATTCAAACAATTGTCAATACAGTACATACATTACGGATTTCTCTATAACTAGAATATCAGGGAATTGTACTATGAATTGAGGTTGTGAGTAATGTTTACCATTAAAAGCATTTAAAGTTAGTATGAGCTTTGACAGTGAGTTCAAGTACTTGACATACAATCAGTGTCATGTCATTTGTATGTCGGGGTCTGTGTGTCGGCTTTCTTGGGGTTGTCTCGTCTTAACGGGCACCTATCGTCAAAATTAAATTGCTGTAGAAGTAATGAGTCGGTAATCCGTGGGCACGCGAGAACTCGTGACATCTTATAAAAGCAATGTTTTTATGTACTGAAGTGGTCATTTTCGTCTTTTATGTCTTGAAATCACAACCAAATTGGGTCAGATAATGTTTTCATACCTGCCAATCGAAAAGGGATTAGGTATTTGTTATTACCCACAATGCCCCTACACACAATTGCCGCCATTTTGTCACTTGAACTCATGAGAAGTTATTTTGAAAGTGGGCCAAAGTGTCTCCCGTTTTTAACACAACAAGAAACCCAGCACAATGAATTGTTCCTTCGCTTGTCCATGTTATCTGAATCAAGAAAATGGCAATGCGAGTTACACTAGAAGCTTTGGAGGCTCGGGAACGTGAAAACTTGAAAAAAGGAGCAATCGTCGATCGCGGAGGGAGAAAGGGAACATTCCACGACCATGTCAGTGTAAATTTCTTGAATTAAGCAATAGCTCATGTTATGTGTAGCGTTTAATGTACATAAGTAGCTAGGACAATAAATATGAAATTAAAGTTATAGACTTGATCGAACTCAATAAGCAATTGCGTGTCGAAATGTTGGCAAGAGATATGGCTTCCTTTACTTAGACAACTCAAGAACTCGATTGTGATTTGGATCAGGTAACATACGACTAAATGGTTCATTATCGTAATATATGGAGTATTATCTTTGCAAGAACAATATGAACCACAAATATATCCAGCAATGTCGCGACTCAAGATAACTTCCAAACGTATTTAGAAGTATTCGAATATTATTGCAAGAAATCCAATGATTGGAAGTTCTTTTTTAAAGTTTGTTATTGAAAATTGCATTTGGAATTGGTACCACTGAAAACAATTCAGTGGGGGATAGTGAGTCATTTTGCATTTATAGGAATTCTCTGACCAGATTTGGTGCATGGTTAGAGTGAAGTTTCAAAACTCTTTGTCTAGTTATTACAGTAACAAGACAGCCTATGACAACAACAAAAATCGACAATATTTTTCAGCCAACTTTTACATTGTTTAAGACGATATTTATCATGATAATATAATGCTGTTGAGTGGATAAATTGTCAACACAATATTTTGGGAAACTGTTTTTTAAAAGGTTTTCAAGTCAGTATAGGATAGATTACTGATGTATGAGGAAATTTAAGTTAATCATCTGATGTAAACAATTTTACACTTAGAATGTCAAGATATTTAACTCTGAATGAAGAAATGTGGATTTTGTTAGATCCACAAAAGAAGTTTGTAAAGAAAGTTGGATATATAGAACGTTTAATAGGATATGTTGGGGATACATTGATGTACATTGTCAACCTAAAATTATATGAACTTGTTAATTTTGCTTCTTTTGATATTAGCATATCTACATCTTGCAAATTGATATTTATTCTTCTATTTTCATGCCTTATTGTTATCAAGAGTACAATGTCACTTAGAAATTTCTATATTTCCAGCATTGGAAAAACTGAAGATGACTAACTGGTATTTACCTGCAACAGGTATGTGTAATCCAAACCCTTCAGTAAATGATGTACATAAAATTATCCAAATAATGTAAATCCTGTGAATCAGAAAAATACACAACCACTATTTTCGTAACTTCCAACTGGAAATATTTTCCACTTATACACATCTCCTTTCAGAAGCAGTTTGGCGGTTTTTGACAAACAAGAGGGTTCGTTCACCTAGAAGACAAAGAAGTGGGAAAGCAGAGGCCTTTTGTCCGCAAAGAATAAAAGATTCAGATTTCAATTTCTTGTCTGCCAGAATGACCCCACATTATTTTTTTTTAAAACCCAAATATTTCTTTTCACATTATTTTCAGAATAATGGATAATTCGTAGTTCTATACATATATTATCAAAGCATAATGCATGTAACATTCAGAAAATAAGTTATAGCTTTCACATGAGAATTTCTCGGAAATATAGGCAATGATAGCATGAATTTAGTGTGCATTCCTAAGAAATGTTATTAATTCAATGTCAGTGTTTTCTACATAAGTCACAACTGTTATTTAGTGAAAGAAAATCTTTTTTGTCAGTCATCAAATGTCCAACCCAAGCTAAGGAAATACGTCCTTCTCTCACTTGTCTCTCTTTTCATTAAGTTCTTCTGCGATTGAAACTTTTGTCACTTTTGAGGTCAAATGATCAGTTTTGATTTATTGAACTTCGTGCTTATTGGACAGTGGTTACAGTTTACGTTTGACAGTTTTCCTTTCTCCAGCTAGCGATATTGTTAACGAATGCTTGTTTGTACTGATTGTTTATTGTTTTCTAATTTTCAGAAGCTGGACAACGATTGACTGGCCGGAGAAGAAACAGAAAGTTATTCCTCTCTTGGGGAAAGAGTTAACATTTCTCAAATTGGAAAACCAAATAATATGGATTCATCTACATTGATGAGTTTAAGAAAACACCCCGTACACACAGCTGTTTATTCCCTTACTGCTTTTCATTATCTATGCATTTTGAAAATTCAGTTTTTATTAATGTGAACATTCCTAATATCAGTTGTTTATCAGCAAATTGTTAAATATAAATAGAGCTATCATGACTTTGTGTTTTATTCTGTTATTTGTCATCCTGATGGTTTAACCTTTGTGCAATTGTATAAACTACCCGATTTTGTGTGTGTGTTGCATGAAACACATCCCCTTTTCTGGAGGAACGGGTAATGGGCCAGCACAACAGATTGAGTTTCATGGAAACCAGGTTATAAGCTGGGAGCTAGGTTGGAAACAACAATAAACTAAGCACCAGCAGGAGCGTCCATGAACGAGTGGGCAAAGTCTCGACTTGGATACTATCCTGATACTGGTGCAAAAAGTAGTTTAAGTTTAAATGGAAACTAGGTTATAACTTGGAAACTAGGTTGAAACCTACAACTAACTAAAACATGTAAACCAGGTTGAAACCTACAACTAACTAAAACATGTAAACCAGGTTGAAACCTACAACTAACTAAAACATGTAAACCAGGTTGAAACCTACAACAAACTAAAACATGGAAACCAGGTTGAATCCTACAATAAACGGAAACATGGAAACCAGGTTGAAACCTACAATAAACGAAAACATGGAAACCGGATTGAAACCTACAATAAACGAAAAAACGGAAACCAGGCTGAAACCTACAATAAACGAAAACACGGAAACCAGCTGGATCTGGCTTGGAGGAGTGGGTAATGAATCGCACTGGAAACCAGCCGGAAATGGTGCAAAATTCAGTTTCAGTTTTCATGGAAACCACAATGGAACTATAGGAAACTACATGGAAACCAACTGGAAATGGTGGTTTCCTTGTCGTTTCATCTCAGTTTCAGTGTTCCGGAAACCAACTTATTTTTGTAGTGCCTGTTGCGTAGATCAGTAGTCATGTTGTTGATTACTGGATTGTCTGATCCAAACTCGAGTGCGGTGTAAAAATAGAAACATATGATTGGCCAAAGCGCCCTACTGTCCATCACGTCATTTACCATGCAAAAACAAACTCATAAATATCGAATGAGTTCTCAAGAGAATCCCGAATTCCACGAAGCATAGTTCTAACCAACCCTCTGTTGTCAGCTTGGTTAATTTTATCCACTTTTCCCGCATAACAGCAACGAGTTCATGGAAAGTCGTCAGTGGTTGCTGACGGTGACGTACGCCTCCTATGAATATACAAGACATCTTCGATGGATGCCAAATCTGGACACAGTGCCTACAGTGGTAAGATGCTTGTATTCTCCTGGAGGTTTGAGATACACAGGAACAATACGAACCATGTGCACTCTTGCTCTGTCATCAAGAAACGCAAAAAGACATCATTTGGCAAGCAAATGGCACCACGCATGATATGCCAGTCTACAAAACGACTGTTCTGTCTAACGTTACAGGCATGAAACGGTGTTGGCCGCCAGTTGCCGCTCTTAGTAAAACAAATCGACGTCTGTAATCAACGTTATTTGTCTGTCGATGTAATCTACTACAGTCCTTTTGTCTTTTTCCAGATTCCAACATGACAAGAGAACAAAATCTAGCAAATCTAGTTGTGAACGGAATAATCTTTTAGTACATCTTTATGCAATCATGCAACTTGGATATCCCTATTTAATTTCAGTAATATAGTTCTAACCAATCCCCCGTTATATGATATCTATATATCTATGTATATATATATATATATATATATATATATATATCGCTCTTTGAAAGAAGTGAACATGAACACACGTGTTTCAATTAGATCACCAAACTGAATACTTCTGATCAAAAGATGTTTCAGCTGATAAATGTTTTCAGAATCTAACGAACAGTATACTAATAAGTTAAGACATGTATAACAAATCACAACTGAACAAACAAAAACAATCTGAAATATTGTGCAATTAATAAATAATTTAATTAACCGTGTTGTTACAATATTTAATTATATGATGTCATTTTATATTTCCTTAGTAATTTCAATGGCAGTTTCAGCTGTTCTGACCGTGGGTTTTGTGAGATCGTAACGAAAACTTACCCAGTATAGAACACACAATATAGATGATTACGGTGACTGCCATTTCCCTAGTGACCTTTCTGTTCAAAGAAAATCGAACACTTCTTAACCAGTGCAGCTGCAACCAGGAGGTCCGTTTCAAATGAGACTGTATTTCTTGGGGAGCGTATTTCAAGGTGCGTATGAATCACAGTATTGCTACTATTAAAAGGAACACGTCAGCAACACCCACTCTGACGAAATGTTGACTCACTCACTCACTTTAACTCTTGCATCATGTTAAGGGTTATTTTTAGAACATCAGCTAACCGGTATTTAGATATCTGGTAATGAAACAGAAACTCACTCTTATTAAGTAGCTTACCTCGATGTGTTGTCAACATTTTAATGTCAACAAATGAATATGCTTTACAAAACCTGTATAGCTTAAGAACACTCTAAAATCCTGATTAATTCAATAAAGTAGGAAATATAATAAGTTAATAAGTTGTAGGAAACATAGATTGGTATGACACAGCTTCAGCTGGCTTAATGTCTATCCTCCAAAGAGACTATGACAACACACAAGGTGCAAGAAAAAGAGGAAGATCAAGGTCAAGCTAATAGACACAGTTGATCATTGTTCAGGGTGCATTCAAGCGTAGTGTTTACTCTCAGTGTTATAATACATAATGTTGTAAGCCGAACAAAAGATAAAGGATAACAAACAAAAAATACTAAATACACAAATGCCTACTGGAACTACAGTCGAAAAAACTATTTTCACAAGTCGTCTATTCTAAGGTAGACAAAAATGTGACACATAGTCAGACATTGTTGGTACTCGCACAGAAACAGGTATATCAAACCCTATCCAATAACGACACAATTACATTTACCGTAGATGTTTTAGAAACAGTAAATGCTCACATCAAAACAGACTACCTGAGATGTACAGAAAGACCAAACAGTGGGACAAACCAACCTCCATTCAATAATGTCATGACTATTTTTACAGTATGTGTCATCAAAACAGGCAACTACGTATCTGAAATAGGTTTTCCTCGGGAATGCTGTATGTACAATAGCCCTTAAGTGGGACATTTCACCTGACATTCGTATCTATATATTTTATTGTACACACTGAAAGTTTGCTTTGTGCTTGTTGCGTCCGTCCCGTGCGTAGACATATGTACGGACGAAGTGACGTATGAAATATCACTAAACCAAATAGTAAATTACATTGTGTTCATAAACCCTGTCAAAAAAGAAACGCAACCTCTGTATTTTAGAGATTTTAATCTTAAGTTTTAGGACGACAAAGTATTTTTATTATTTAAGACAGAAGTCTGAAATTTGGCAGAATAATAACCATGGTCATATTAAAACTGTCATTTCAAAAGTCATCTCACAGACACCAGTTTGTCACCAGGGGGACGTCTTTCTCAGTATCTCGTATGAGCACCACGGGCTGCAATCACTGCACGGCATCTCCTTGGACAAGAACGGATAAGACGCCGGATTCTCTCGTGGGGAATGGCTCTCCACTCTTCCTGCAGTGCAACGGCGAGCTGTTGCAGCGTCCGTGGCGGCGGCGGCTGACGTTGACGTACGCGTCGATTCAGAGTATCCCACATGTGTTCAATAGGGTTGAAATCTGGTGATTTAGAGGGCCATGGCAAGACACTGACGTTGGAATTCTGCAGAAAGTTCATTGTTTCACGTGCAGTATGAGGCCGGGCGTTGTCCTGTTGAAAAATCTGTGTCTGTTTGTCAATAATCTGGAGAAGGTGAGGCTGTAACACGTGGTTGATGTAACGTTGGGCTGTCAGGTTCCCTGGAACGATCACCAAGTCTGATTTCTGGTTGTATGAGATGGCTCCCCAAACCATAACGCTTTCTCCGCCAAATCGGTCCGACTGTCGGACGCATATGGGCGCAAAACGTTCAAGACGTCTCCTATGCAGACGCTGTCTTCCGTCGTGACGTTGCAAAAGAAAACGTGATTCACCAGAAAAGCAGATGCGCCTACAGTTTTGTAAAGTCCATATCCTTACGTTGTTGCACCACCTGAGTCGTCGGCGTCGATGTAGGGGGCGTAGTACAGGTCCAACAACTGGTCAACAGGCACGTAAACCCGCTTCTTTCAGACGGTTCCTAACCTGTTATTTGTGTGGCAGTCACGGTTGGTAGGACATGCCGATTACGTAGGTGATTGACCCGGATGTTTCTCCGGCTTGAACACGACCAATGGCGATATTTCGGTCAT